AACTTGATGATCTGAAAGACCAATTTTCTGGTCCCTGTGTCATTGTCAAGGATAACATTTAGCACTTACACAACACTTCATCCTCAAGTTGTTTTTGAACCTTCACTATAATTAAACCACATCACTCTTGTGTGAATGAAATGTTATTGTCCATTTTTCACAGCCAGCAGAGCTGAGGCTCCAGTAAGTGCCAAAGAGAAGGACACGGTGTCACAGGCAGTTGGCAGCTGCTCCTTCAGCTCGGGAAGTACAAAGGATCCAAATGATTACCAGTCAATTCCGCTTCCTCCATTGTCCTGTCTCCTTGAGCTCTGTCAGCAACAAACCTCCATGAGAACAGACTGTGTAGGATTCCCACTCCTCTAATTAAGGTGTTTTACCCTTCCTGCTACTCCTGTTTGAAATTGGATCCATCTCCAGGGACCACAGGTGAGGAAAGGTCACACCTCAGCAGCTGGACACTCTTGATGTGAACAGAGCTTGGCTGCAGATGTAGAATAACCTCAGAAACACCACAAGGAACAAAAAAGTTGCTCTGACATATTTATGGCTAAAGAGACTTCTGTAATTTCTCAGAAGACTTTTATGAGAAATTCCCTATTAATTACCAAGCTGCCTTATCTACAGTTGAGTTTGGCCTCCCAGTCTGTCCTGTATTTGCTCTGAATGGAGAAATCCATGGAGATAGAGTGTGGATGCCCCAGCACCTGCAGCTGCACAGGCTGCAGAGGAAGGCAGAAACCAGCCAGATTTCGAGATAAAGCAGGAAGTACCTTCAGACTCCATTTCCTCACAATTACGAAGTGAGATGTCAGCAGTGAGACAGTGCCAGTACTTCACCCCAAGGACTCACAATTACCCTTTTTTTTTAAAGCAAATCCCAACTATGGAAATCCATTTCAATCAATTCTCCATACAGACATTAGATAAAGCCCCACTCATTGACTTCATCTCTTGTTCACAAGAAATGCAGCACATAATTGACTTTTCAGATTGCAGGGCAGAATTCTGGGACACGTGTGCCTGCAGTGAGGTTTCCCAAATCCTTTAATGCTCATTCCTAAACCCAACAAAATGAGCCCTGTGTTCATAGGGCCACAGAAATCAGTTACCAACATTTCAGGAAGGGCTGATGATTTTCTCACCCCAAACTAACTTTCTGTAATAATTCACTAACAAATTTCAATCCAGCTTAAATATAATTAACAATTGTTGTAAGAGCATTACTTTCCTAACCTGTTAGAGGAGCAGTGAGTTTGCAGCACACAACCAAGAGCAAGATTTACTTTCAGTTTATTTGCCTGTGTCCCTCTGCATTGCTCATGTGCATTGGTTACATTTTTTTCTTTTTAACTTAGAAAGCCTTGAACGCTCCCCAGCAGCAGATCATGCCTTGAAAACGCTGACTGCTGGATTTATTAGCACTGTGTAGAGCTGTGAACACTAAACCTGGCTTGGGGAGGGTTTGGTGGCCCTGGCCAGGCTCACAGGAAGCCGCTGTTGCTGCAGCTGGGTTGAGCTGGGCAGCAGAGCTGTGAGGATATAAACCAGATATAATCCAGTGAGGATATAAACCTCAGCCGGGAATGTGGGGAGTCCCAAAGCCTCAGTGGGGCTGGTGGAACTCCAGACTGAGAACATCCTCTCTAAAGTTCCTCCACCCCACCACAGGTATCGGGAGAGGGATCTGCTATCCCAAAACCTATCCCTGTAAATGCACACACTCCTTCAGAGCCCTGTGTGCCCACACAGACACGGATCAGCTGCAGCAAGGACAGCACAGGGACCTCTCCAGCTCCTTGGATCCTGCAGCACCACAAATTCCAGCCACTGGGCAACTCCCAGGGCCAGCTCCTTTTGGAGCCTGCTCACACAGCCGCTCTCCAAGGAAGCTGAGGGAAGCTGAAATCACGGATTTGGCTTCACTGGAACCCTGATTCGTGTCCATTTATGAATATTGCTCCTTAAAGCCTTGCACTGGGAGGTGGCTCTTCCATGGCAGTGCATTTCCAGGGAACTTGATGCCCAGAGAGTGATGTTCCCACTGCCCAGCATCTAAAAACTCCCACCCCATTAGTTATCACCTGAAGTACTCAGACCTGCTGGGACTGCTCACACTTCCAGTGGAGTTTCAAATCAATATCACTAAAGCTGAGTTCAAAGGTTCCTCTGCCCAGATCCGTCTCATGTCCCAGCTTTGTCCCAGACAATTCCTTCCCTATGGGTGCTGTGCACACAGCTCCAGCCAGATCTGCTGCTTCCCCACATCCCCTCACTCTCCCCACCCAAACTCACAGCTTCCCCAGCTGCTCATCCCAACAATTTACTGCAACACATCTTTATGGAGCTCGGCATTTTTCCTGCCTTCATTTTAATTGTTTTATTCCCTCCGGTTGTCTCCGTTCCTCTCTGTAATTTATCGTTTCTTCTCTCCACTTCTGTCCTTCCTGCCACTTGCTGAACACAGAGAGACTTGTTTTAATTTACAGAGAGTGTGGTAGTGCAATCTGTTTCATTAACTTAATTAGTTTTATTTTGGCAGTTTCTAAAGGTTCTAGGATAGAAAAAAAGACTCCAACCATGCAAACAGTCTGCAGACCAGCCACTGTAAGGCAAATCCTGTCAAGGAGATTAGAGGTTAGATTTGAAATAAATAGAAATTAAATGGTGATCAAAGGTATTTGGGATGGTAAAAAATTATATAGTGAGGGCTTTTTTGTTAAATTTACAAGTTCCATCCTGCACCCACATGCCTGTGTTGGCGAGGTCGAATGTAACAGTTACCTATGGTATTTCCGTGGGGCATTATTCTGAGATATAAATGTCCTTATTTACCTTTATTTAAAAGCACACACAGCACCTTTCAACATTCAAAGGAGCTGTTTATGTTTTATTTTGATCCCTCAGTAGGGTCAAGCACATAATCCACTGTTACTGCAGTGAAGCAGAGAACAAGCCATCCACCCACTCTGTTCCCTATGGAGAGCAGGAATTGCTGGGGATGTAAAACACAACAATTTGCATTTAAATGGCCACTGTCCTCCACAAGCAACACCTGCTGAAAAGGTGCGCTCCAGCAGAAGACTGGCAAGAGGAAATCTTCTATTTTATGCCCATCCTTTCCATAAGTCTGAGCTTAACACAACAAAGAGCCTGCTGGGCTGAGCTGTTGGATCTGAGCATCCCATCAGCTCCAGGGCTGAGTAGTTTTAGTTTCTCTCTGTTTTAGTCCCGAATTCCTTGTAGGCTCAGGATTTAGGGCCTCATTCTCTGCTCAGCAATCACAGGGAAGGGAACAGGGCCTGAGTGTCCTGAGCACACAGAGGAAATATCATCACAAAATAAAACCTCTCCCCTCTGTCGGGAAGGCCACGACCCTTCAGGCTTCCCTGGAAGGTGGCTGGAACTCGGCTTTTGCAAACTTCTGAGTGCAAGGGCCCGTGAATCTTGTGAGGCACAGAATCACAGAGAAGCTGTAGGGAAGGAAATTATTAACGCCTTTTCTCCCCTTTCCACTCCATGTTTTCCACCTTTGCCTGATGTGCCCAGTTCATGGTGCTTTACACTTGGAAATGCCGATTTACCTCACAGAAGGCACCGGTCCCTCTGCCTTCCCCACATCAGGGGAGGGCAACAGGAGGGTCACACCTGATCTGTGGTGACAGGGACAGCAGCCAGGGAAGGGCTGGAGCTGGGCCAGGGGAGGTTTGGCTTGGATTTTGGGAAAGGTTCTTCCCCCAGAGGGTGCTGGCACTGCCCAGGCTCCCCAGGGAATGGTCCCGGCCCCGAGGCTGCCAGAGCTCCAGGAGAGCTTGGACAGCGCTCCAGGGATGGAGCTGGGATTGTTTGGGGTCTGTGCAGGGCCAGGGGTTGAACTGGATGATCCTGTGGGTCCTTTCCAACTCAGCGTATTCTGTGATCTTCCCTCTCCGCAATGCCATCCCCCCAGTGCTCCTCCAGCACGGGCACGAGGCTCCCCGGCCCGCACTGTACAACGCAGAGACAGCACCGGGCTGTGCCTCGCGGGGGAGCCGCTCCAGGGCCATCCCAGGAGCTGCCACCCGGGCACCCTGAGGAGCGATGCGATCCCTCTGAGAGGCGACCCGGCCCCGCCATGGCCGCCCTCCCGCCCTCGCCATCTTCCCCCGTGCGTTCCGCGGCCCCGCTTCCCGCCCCGCGACGGGCACTGCGCTCCGCCAATCACCGGCGTCCCTCGGGAGCGACGCCTCCCTCCGCCAATCAGGAGGCGGAGCAGCCCCACCAGCCCCGCCCCTCCCCTCCCCAGCGGCCTATAAAGCGCCAAACCACGCCCCCTCTTCCCCTTCCCTGCTCTGCACTGAATGAAGCCCCCGCTGGCCAACGAGAAGTTCCCGCGGGGCCGGATAGACAGGTACACCGTCCAATAGGAATGCAGCATTTCCGCGCGTCGGCCAATAGGACGCCGCCTGCGGGCGCGGGGGGCGGGGCCTCCCTCCCCGCGGGCCGTGGCCGTCGCTCCCGCTGCTGGAGGGAGGCGGCGGAGAAAATGGCGGCCATGGCTGCGGAGGCGGCGGCGACTGCGGCGGTGCCGGGGGACGGCGGGGCCGGCGAGGCCGAGCCCGAGATGGAGCCGATCCCGGGCAGCGAGGCCGGCGCGGACCCTCTACCCGCCGTCAGCGAGGCCGTGGAGTCGGCGGTGCCGGATGGCGAGGAGGCCGACGGCGGCAAGGCCGAGGAGCCGCCGCCGGTGCAGCGCGCCCGGAGCCCCGGCGGGACTCGCGAGCCGGACGCGGGAAGGACGGAGGAGCCGCCGAGCAGCCCTGGGGTGGAATCGCCGCGGGCCGAGCCCCGCGCAGCGCCCAGCCCGGGCTGCTCGGAGCCGCCGCAGCCCTGTCCGCCGCCCGAGCCGGCCCGGGAGCCGCCGCAGCCCTGCCCGCCGGCTGCCGGGGGCTCCGCGGGGCCCGGGGAGGAGCCGCCCCGGCCGGAGGAGGAGGAGCCGGATGCTGCCGCCGCCGCCGCGGTGGAGCCCGAGCCGGCGGTGCCCGCGGCCCCGGGCGGAGGGGAGGCGGAGGCGCCGGCGCTGCTGCCCGGCTCCGAGGTGCGGGTCACCCTGGACCACATCATCGAGGACGCCCTGGTGGTCTCGTTCCGGCTGGGAGAGAAGCTTTTTTCCGGGGTCCTCATGGACCTCTCGAAAAGGTGAGAGCTCGGGGGGAGCCGAGCCCGAGCCCCCACCCAGCGCCGAGCACCGGCAGCGCTCCCGGAGCCGCCGGGGGCGGGATGGGGGCGGCCCCGCCGGGACCCTCGTGGGCAGTTTCCCTCCCATCCCATCGCTTCCCGTTCCATCCCAGCCCTCCTTGGCCCCCGTCCGTTCCGGGCCAAGCAGCTCCTGCCCCCTCGTCCTCCCCGGGGAGCGGAGCAGCAGCTCCCGGGCATCCTCTTCCTCCTCTTCCTCCTCTTCCTCCTCCTCGACCCCCCTCCCGCCCGGGGAATGGGAAAACGGGGGAGCCAGGAGAGGGGAGAGCACCCGGGCACAGCCTTTGGGCTTGGCCGGGGTTCCCAGGGCCCGCAGCAGCATCCCCGTGTGCCGGGAGAAGCAGCCGAGCGCAGAGCTTGGCGTTAATTCCCTGCTTTGTACAGAACAGCCCCACAGATCCGATTGCCCTGTTCGTTCGGGCTTACATTGCCTAGGTAACCTTCTTTCTCACTACATACTATTTTCCAAAATAATGGTTTTCCTGCTAGGCGGTTGCAGTTATTAATTAGTTCTGACTGCTCCTTGTATGCGATGAACTGGGTGAAGTTTGATGGTTCTTAAATATCCTCGTGGATGGGGGAATTTTTACATATCTCTGAATAACTTACCAGACAGCAGGACTTGGGGTTTGCTTTTTTTCACTGCCTTTCAATAGTGGGAAGCTCTTGGGAGACCAGAAATTATAGTATCTTACAAACAATCTAGGTTTTATTGGCAGGTGAAAATACTTCTTCGTCGTTGTGGGTTTTTTTCTAGACATGTAAGGACTCAGCAAGTTCATGAGAGAAAAGTGAAATTTAAGCAAGGTTGTTTTTTTAAAATAATTGGTATGCAAAATATGCAGCACTTTTTCCCCCCAGATTTAAGCAGTGTGTGGACACATGCCTTTTATCCCTCCTTTTATGTTGTTAGTAGCTGTTCAGCAACTTCCTGGAATATTAATATTGTCAGTGGTTCCTAAAATGAAAATTGTGGGGACCAGCACTTCTGTCTTGGGCCTCACTGCGTGGTTGGGGTTTGACACAAAAGGCCTTTCCTGAGCCCCAAGTTTTGGATAATGTCTTGGAATGACTTTTTCGGTCTGTCACTTGATGAGGTGTGAAATGCTGAGCAAATCTCCAGCCTCTTGTAGGGTGAAACAGCATCTCAGAGCAGGGCAGGAGGTGACACAAATGAAGTGTAATCCTGGGTAACACACATTCTTTTGTAGGTTTGAACTTGTCCCAGCAGAATGCCATGGCTGCCCTGGGCAGGAGTGCAGGAAAATACCAGCTTCTCCTTTTCTCCTGAAAGGGATCCTGCCTTCCTAAAAACACCCTGGCCACCAAGATCCCACATTTTCCCAGGTTCTTGTGCACTGAGGAGCCTCTGGCATGCAGCAGATCTGCAGCCCTTTGCAGCAGAAGTCAGTTTGCAGGCTGGCTGCTGCTGCTGCTGCGCCTTGGTGGAAGCATCTCCAACCTCCCCGGGTCCAGGCCCAGCTCCTGGGACAAAGCTGTGCAGTGGGAATTGTGGAAAAGCCATGCAGGGAGGCTGGGGCTGTTCCTCCCAGGTTCTCTTGGCAGTGGAGCTATTTATTCCTTCAGGGGTGCTTTTACATGGGATTCCTGGAGGGGAAATTTAAATTTTCAAGGCCAAGCTCTGCAGAGGGCCTGGACAAGAAGAACTGAGTTTTGAGACATAAGGTCTGTCATATTTGGCTGGTGACGACAGAACGTTGGTAGATAACAGGAGCTTTATCAAATGTCTCAGAGCAGGAAATGCTGTGGAAGAGAAGCTCTAGAAATAGTCCAAGAACTTCTTACCTCTAAGAAGTTGAAACATTATTAAAAAAAAATGTTGCCTGTATGTCCAGCAGTTCCATTTTACCACTTCTGTGGTGACTAACAGGTGGTATTGTCTAGGTGTCAGCTTTTCCTTAGGTCTGTTTATTTTTGTTTGGTGTAGCAGCACCTGGACTTGCAGAACATGAGTATTTCTCATGAACTTCCTTCTGTATCTGTGGCAGGCCCTGGAATTCTTGTCCTAAGTTTTTCCACTGGACCAAAAAGAAAAAAAGAAGGGCAGGGTTAAATGAAAACCACCTAAATCCCATTCATTTACATGACAACACTGGGATTTCCAGCATGGGAGATGGGTGCTTGCTGAATCTGTCTCATTCAAATGCATGGGAATCATCTCCCAAACTTTCCTAATGCCCGAGGGATCAATATTTTTAAGACTGACAGTTCTTACTAAGTAAGTGTCAATCTGTATTAGAATTTACTCATTCAGTAGCTTCCAAAAGTACCTGTGTCACTGCACATGCTAATGCTGTGTTGGATGATCAGAGGGAAATCATTCCTGTTCCTTTTTTGGATCTTAATTTCTCTTTCCCTTCTGCACCCTCCAGAGCAGTGAAGGTGCTGCTTCCATACAGTACTAAGAAGAATAAGTTTAAGTGACTGTTTTAAAAACCTGCTCACAGTGTTCTTTTTTGTCTTCTCAAGTCATGTTCTGAATGACTTTAACTTCACAATGAAAGAAAAGCAAAAAATTCTCATATATTTATGATTCTAAAGTTTTTTTTTTTGGCTGTTTTATCTTACTGCTTTTTCCATTGTTGAGGTGATGCCCTGACTTTGCATTTTATTCTGTGTGACTCTGAGGTCAGTGATATTTGTGTGAAGGGCCTGATTCCCTCTCCCACCCCCCATAAATGGGGTATATCCCTTTAGGAGTTTATACCACAAGCCCCTGGGTGTTGGGTGGGCTTTATTCCTACATTTATTTGAGTTATGGAAGCATTTCCCTGTCTGTACCTGTCTCCTGTGCCTGCTGCCCAGGAAGTTTTGAAAATCAGCAGAAAATAGGAGCCCACTTGTCCTGAGTGCCAAATCCATTTGTTATGCAGTAAATCCTCACCTGGAGAGGAGCATGTCCCCACTTTGGTCACTCTGAAGGCTCACTGCACAAATTAAAGATGTGTTCTTGCTGTTGAACTCCATTGGTGCTGCTGCCATCACCTTTAAGTGTTTTCCTGCTGCAAGGGGGAGGTTCTGGGGATTCTTGGGGTGCTGATGGGGTCCTGAGGGGAGCCAGGGAAGGCAGAATCCCTCACACAGGGAGGAGAAATGGTTGGGAAAAACTCGACACATCCAGGGCTGATCCCACAGCGTGGGCAGCAGGAAAGGGGGGGATCCTGCCCTGCTCAGTTGAGACCTCACCTGCAGAGCTGCTCCAGAGGAGGCACTGAGTTGCAGAGGGGACTGGAAGGAGCAGCCTCCCGATGGAGATGGGCTGGGGGAGCTGGGAATGCTCATTCTGGAGAGGAGGAAGGTTGTGTGGAGACCTCACAGCACCTTTCAGGATCTGAAGGGACTACAGGGAGGCTGGAGAGGGAACTTCATCAGGAACTGGAGGGACAGGACAAGGGGAATGGCTCCCAGTGCCAGAGGGCAGGGCTGGATGGGATTTTGGGCAGGAATTGTTCCCTGGCAGGGTGGGCAGGCCCTGGCACAGGGTGCCCAGAGCAGCTGGGGCTGCCCCTGGATCCCTGGCAGTGCCCAAGGCCAGGCTGGACATTGGGGCTGGAGCAGCTGGGACAGTGGGAGGTGTCCCTGCCATGGCAGGGGTGGCACTGGATGGGATTTCAGGTCCTTCCAACCCAAAGATTCTGATTCTGTGGGGTTTAAAGTCTCTGAGCTGCCTGTAGCTGGCATTTGCTCAGGGGACAAAAGATATTCATCCCACCTCAGAGTAAATCCTGCTCTGCACCTGGAGGAAGTAGGTGGGAGGGAAATACCTGAGAAGTGTAGTATTTGTAAATCTTAAAATACAGGATTAAGAAGTTGTGGTTTTAGTTTGTTCTTCTGGAGAAAGGATAATTATTTCTGTGTGGGTTTTTTTTTTTTTTTCTTCCCAAAGATTGGGGAGGAGGGGGATTAAATTTATGTTCTGTTGTTTTGCCAACAATCAAGACTTGGCCTTTTTATTGTTTTATCATTTAACTGAAATTTTCCTTCTAATCCTGCAGATGTGAAGGACATGTGTCTTGTCTTTTTCTCTAAACCAGTTCCCTCTTGACTTTTGTGTGTTCATAATAGTTCTTGAGTGGGAGAGGAAGAGCAAAAAGTTGTTTTGTGACCTAAGAGCCTCTAGTTAGATATCCAGAAGATGTGCAGTGTGTTCCCAGTAGACATATGTTTGAAATTATGTCTTTATTGAGCTTTTGTTATGGAAGATAAGGAAGTACTTCCTGTACCAAGGTGTGCATGAGCTGTATGATGAAAATAAACTTTTATAGGCAATTTGCAATTCTTACAATCCCAGAAGCAGTTTGCAGGTACAGACTCTTGAAAGCTGTGCTTTTCCCAGTCTGTTAATTCAGCTTCTACTGCAAAAGAATGATGTGAGAAGGAAACAGCAGAAGCCTCACTTGAAAAAAATGTGGAACATTTTTCCCTGCTCTTTCATTTAATAACCAGGGACAGCGTGTGCTCATCCTTGTCTGGGGAAGGACTGGGTTTTTGTAGGAGGCCTGGTGCTCTGTGATGCACATTCTCAGCAGTAAAGAAGTGTCTGTGACTCAGGGTTGTGTGTTTTGGTTTATTTCATTTTAAAACTTGCACTCAGTTCCCAAGGTGTCCCCACACCTCGTCACCTGCCCTCTTCAGAGTTTCTCAGGAGCCCAGAGGAGCTTGGTGAAATTCTGGCATTTAAGGAGCAGCCCCAACACTTCTTTGACATTTGTTTTAATACCCACAGAAGGTGGGAAGCTCAGGTGTGATGGGAGTGTGGTTGAGAGGGTAATTCAGGTCTTTTGCTTGTGACTGACAGAGGTTTTATTGAAGGTGTCAAATGTAGCCTCACTTAGAGAGTAGGGTTAGAATTGGGCTCTGGATTGGGCCTCAAACTCCTTTCCTGAAGGAATCTGTGCTCCTCAGCTGTTCTTTGTTGGTCT